ACTTGGAATATTTGGCGTCGTGCTATCCAGGCGAGAAGGTTGGTTTGATTTGGGACGCAGCTCTAGCCATTTCTCAGATCTAGTCAAAGAGAAAGCTGCTGACCTGAACATCACTTTGGAAGGTATTCCTCCAGGGTGTACTAGTCTAATTCAAGTATGCGATCTGATTGCCAACAAACCGATCAAACAGGCCTTCGAAAGGACGTCATTTCTTGGCTCGAACAATCGATCGAAGATGTCAATGCCCGCGTGTCGACTCGCACAGAGGTTGCAAAGGCCTTTGCAACCTACGGACAGAATTTTCGTTGCGCAAATCAGTCTGCATTGTCTGAGTACTTGACGAAACACGAGGAGAACGGTGTATATCAATCACTCATCGAAAATCAGCGATCTTTGGACCTGGAATAAAGCGTTTTTCACTTGTTTGGTGCAATAAAAGTTCACAAAAAAATCACAATTTCTTGAGAGAATTGGTCCCTTTTAATGTTAACTCAATCGCTATTTGAAAATGCCTCAATTAATCTTTTTGTTAACTAAGGTAGGCGGCTTTGCCGCAAAATAAAAGTAAATAAAAATCAGTTCTTTGGTTATAAACGTAAGAGCTAATTCATCTTGGGTAAGGCAATAATATCTCTTGTAGTAAGCGGATTCTGATCCGCATACTCGTAATTGTTCTAAGTATAGAAGGAAAGGTCGGTGACCTAAATTACGCTTCCACAAGCGCTAAGCTACGGTACCCCCGGAGTACTTGGTAGCACTTGTAGTCAATCTACACCTGTGACGCTTGAACCGATCCTGTGTAAGAATGGAGGGATACTCCTCTTTGCCCCAGAGTATGTAGGACGGACTTAACAAGCTAATGTCCTTGCTTGGCCCTGAGGGCGTGCAACACCTTGTAGCACAAGGCCCCGGGGCAATCGATGCGCGTCTAGAGGCGTTTTCGACTTACAAAAACACGCTGCTAGAGCACCTGCAGCAGAAGATGTCTGCATCGTTTGGGTCTATGATACCACCGTCGTTGACGGATGTCTTCCCCTGACCTAAGCCGCTCATGGTGAGCGTTAAGGTCTTTGAGGGAAAGGATGGAGAGAATCTCCTGCACTGGGTGAGAGAGGTCGAGGTGGCCATCGCATCCGCCAAGCTCCACATCGACCAACAGCGCGTGGCGTTAGCCATCTCAAAGCTCGGTGGTCGAGCGCGAGAATGGGCACTGACGTTCGGCCCTTCGGTCGGAGCTGCGTTTCCCTGCTGAGTGGAGCTGAAATTGCAGCTCTCCCGAGTGTTCTCACATTAGGCGTATTACATGCGATCGCGTTTCCTTGCCACCCGACAGGGCAACAGGGAATTGGTGGACTTTGTCCAAGAGTTGCGAACTCTCATTGCCGGGATGGCGGCAGATTCTCGCCCGGAGGCGGTCACAGC